AGAGATGTGAAGGCCCGGAAAAAAAACGGAAAAATTTGGACCAAAAAAGTCTGTTTTTTCCCGGTTTTTTTCCTGAAGCCTTTTTTGTTTTTTCCCCTGAAAAACTGGAAAAATTGAAAAAAGAAAATAAAATTTTAAAAATTGATTATGGAACGTTTTATTTTAACATGAGTAATAAAATATTTTAAGACAAGGTGTTCAAATATTTTCCAAATCATTTCTAAAAAATATGTATGGTATCAGATTGATCTAATTTCTGTGCACTGAGGACAAGCAAGTCCTAGGTTACAAACTAAACTCTCCAATGCAAGAACAAGATGCATTTCTTCCTTTAGGAGGTGCTATTGTCACAAGAAAAGGAAAAGGTTTCAGTTTTGTTATTGCATGTGGGTGGGTATTCTGTTTGTAATAATTGTTTAGATACACTATATTTTTAATATGCTAGTTGTGATAATTTCATGCCAAGTAAAAATGTCCATAGTCATATTTTATGTTCCTAAAGTAGAAAAACCCGGATTTTTTCCGAACTTCAAAATTTCCGGAAATTTTACATCTCTATCTTTGGAGGCTCTGTTTCAGTTGCCCTGTCATATGAGGCTGGATGGGTGACAGCCCAAGAAAGGACTTTCTCAGTTGTGGCACCAAAACTTTGGAACTCCCTCCCCAGATAAAGTCATCTGTCTCCCTGTAGTGGTGTCTTCCGCCAGCAGGTGAAACCTTTTTGTTTCATTTGGCATACCCCCAATAGCAGTTGTTTGTTTATGTATTTTTTGACTTAGGCAGCATAAAAGTATTTAAAATAAATAAATAAATGGGGGAAAACAAAAATGAAATGGTGGGGAAATCTAGGAGACTGTCTATATAACCGTAAACCTGCATACTCAGAAGTAAATCCCCTTATGGTCAATGGCACTTATTCTGTAGTAAATTATGTTTAGGATTACAACCTAAATATACAGTTGAAATCTTTTAGAGACAAACAGTTAAAAAGTGATGAGAAAAAGGAAATATGAGTCATTACAATAGTTAAACAATTAGCTTTGTTTAAATATTGACCCAGCCATCAATTTTACTGCCTTACTAAAACAGCTAATTACAAAGTAGCTATACAGGTCACAACAAAATTTTGACATCATCATGTCGCATTCTGGAGCATTTGTGGGTGGGGTCTCCCCCTGCTGTCCCGCTGGCACCCAGATCCTACTTTTATGGTTGCTGATGTCAAGGTAGAATGGGCTGGTTGACTCAGGAAATAATAAACATCCTTCTGCAAGAGGTGTAGATCCAATGACTTTGGAAGAGATAGGCATGAGACCCTCTCCTGAAGCAGGTGAATTGTAGCGACCTAAATAACTACAGTCTAGTGGCCAACATTCCTTTTTGTGCTTGTACAGGTGGGGGCTGCGTAGCTTCAGGCAGTCATGGAAGAGATAACTTATCTAGACCAACTGCCAGGGTAACTAAATGCAACATTACAAAGGTGAAAATGTTTGATGCTGTGACACTGTGATATTTTAACCTTATGTATTGGCCAAGGATGGCTGCACGCTGAGCAGTTGCACCTCCCGGACCTCCCGGGGGTGAAACTGCGAGCAAGTGGAAAGGAAGGCCCCCCCGATGTATCGCACTCCCCCCAGGAGACTGGCGAAAGCCTCCTGGCCAAGGGACTTCTGAGAGGTTGCCTCTTCCCCAGCACGATGTTGGGGAATTGAGGCGCTTCTCCGTCCCCATGGTCCCTCCGTCTGTGTTCGTTTGGAATTAGTGAAGCTGGCTGGGACAAGTGCAGGAGATTGAGCGGTGGAAAACAAAAGTAAAAGAGGTTGGATGGCCGATAATGAACGTAAGTCAGATGGAAGCAATTTGATAAACTAAAAAGAAAGCTCCCCCAAAACCCCATGGACTAGAGGGCAAAGCGAGCGGGGGAGGGGCCCTTCCCAGGCGCACAAACTCTAAGCGAGATCGGGGGG